GAGAAATCACCCCCCAGGGGGGATGGTCACGCCGCAATCCCTTCTCCTCCATTCTCCTCTCGGGATCTTGGGCACGCACGCAACACGCCTGGAGTGAGTTTAAGCCACCAGATCCGGGACTCGAGCCGCGGTCAACTACATGGGAGTCCAGCGACATAGCCATTACGCCAACTGCTGGTCCCCAGCGCCCCCTTGTTCCATCTCCACCGTTGCCAGGACCTCTGTCCCTTTCTGCTCATTGGACTCACATAGCACGCTGGCCTGAGTGAGGCCAGTGCCCACTGCTGGGCCCGGGGTGAGGAGCTGTCTCTGTGGAGGGCCCCGTGTGGGCTGACCGGGTAGCCCTGGCACTCTCTGCCCAGCAGGTGGCGCCCTACCTCCAGCAGCTGCGTGTCGGGCAGGTAGCGGTCCTTCCAGTGGTCGAGGAAGACCATGTCCAGCGTGTCCACGTCATACTTCTTCTTCAGCTGGGGTATGATGTCCTGGGAGGCCCCGACCACTACGGTCACCTGGAACGGCCACAGGGACAGACATGACACTGCCCGCCTGGTCACCCACAGGCCTATCCACCCGGCAGTTTTCTGGGGCTTCGGGGAGATGGGTCCCTACTCTGTGCCACCTCCAGCAGGGAGGAGTCCGCGCTCTGTGGGGTGAGGCGGGAGACCACCCTCACTGACTCACTGGGGCTTTCTTCCTTGACTCTGCCCCCCCACCACCACCACCCGGACAGCACCCAGGGGAGGGCCTGGCTAGAGGTGCTCCATGAATGCGGCCTTGCCTAGAGCCCGGGGCCCCCTGAGCCTCAGCGTCCAGTCTTGTCACCTTGTCCTGCAGGCCGGCGAACTCCACCATCTGCTGCGTGATGGTGGCATAGGTGGGGTTGAGCTCGATGGTGATGAGCCGGGCCCCGGGCGGCAGCAGGCGACCCATGCGCACGGCCGAGTAGCCGCAGTAGGCACCCAGCTCCAGCAGCACCGCGGGGCGGCACTCCTGCACCACGGAGTCCACAATCTGGCCTGCAGGGGCGGGGCAAAGGTGGTAGGGGGGATGTGACTGCAGTGGAGAGAGGCCACCCGGTGTCAGGACCCAGGCCTCTGGCCTCCTCTCCCTCGTCCCTACCTGCTTATGGGGTGTCTTTAACTCCCTAAACCCCTGCCCCAAGGACTTGGTGTCACCCTCGTGAGCTCGGTGACCCTGTGCACACGCGGGTCCCCCTCTTCCACCCTGGCTCCTTCGAGCTGGGTGTTGTGTCATGGGCTCCCAAAGACTGGACAGGGCTAAATCGTGTCCCCAGGACCTGACTCCACGCAGAGAAGTTCAGCACCTCCCTGCCTGGGTCCAGGCTGGAGGCCAAGGTCGGAAGGCAGGTCTTGAGAAGGGCTTAGAGAACCAGGGGAACTGGTTCCTGCAGCTCACAACCGGGGCCCCAGGCAGAGGTCCAGGGGAGTCGGGTCACCCCCACATGATGTGACAGGCAGGCCTCCTTGCAGGTAAGCATGGGCGCCTGCCCAGAAGCCCTCAGTGCCCGCTCAGATATGGGTGGCGAAGATGGGGCAGAGCCGGACTCCCGGCCCCAGGCCTCTGGACCGGGCTCAGGAGCTGTGACAAAGCACGTTTCATCAAATACCCCCCAACCCCCCCTCCTCGGTGGTGTCCAAATCTCAGCACAGCCTTTGCCCTGGGTCGGGGCGCCAGAGCCAAGCCTGAGCGCGCAGAACAGCGCCCCCTGTGCCTGGGCACGTCCCGGTTCCCGACCGCCCAGAGACCCCGCGATCACAGGTGCTCCCCAGAAGGGCTGTGCTGCCTGTCGGGGTCCCTGCTCCACACCCGCCGCGCACCTTTCCTGTCGCCCACGTTCATGGCCCACTCCTTCTGCCAGCAGTAGGTGTCGATGGTGTCCAGCACGCTCTGCGGGTTCCCGCGCGTGGCGTGCTGCAGCACGTGGTCCAGGATGCGCTGCTCCTTGGAGCTGCCCATGAACAGGTTTAGGACGGGTTGCAGGATGAACTCGGTCCAGAAGAAGACGACAAAGATCCAGTAGCGGCTCCGGAAGAGCAGCACCAGCAGTACGAGGCCCAGAGCGACGGCGGCTAACAGCAGGGGCGTGGCCGCAGACATCTGCCGGAAGGGGAGGGGCGGGCGGAGCTTCAGCGATCGGCAGGCTATAGCCCCGCCTCGGACCCGCCCCCTAGCGCTGATGAAGGGTCAAAGTTCAGAGCTGGGGGCCAGATGGCGGACCAGTGGTATGCAAGGTGGTGTGAGGCTGACCCACGTGAAGGTCTGGGGTTCGCATCCAGACCCTCCCCTGGATACCCGGAGTGAAACTGCACATGCTCCCCAGGCTGAGCTAGGGTGGACCTGCAGGAAGGGTTCTGCTGGGTGTGCACTTTCTTTCTCAAGGGTCAGAGGAGCTAGCAAGGTGACTCAGTTGCTGCCTTAATGCCAGCTCTCCACCCATCTCCAGCAGCCCCAGTGAACAAACAGGTCCTCCGAAGAGGGAAGAGGCCAGTCGGTCAGGGTCGCATTCCGGGGCAGTGCTGGTGGGAGGCAGCTTCAGCCCATGGGCTCTCCAAAACCACATAGAATAAGGGACTGTCACCTCCCAGAAGGCTCAGAGGACACACAGGTGGGAGGAGACCCAGCAGCCTAGTGTGGGGGCAGGGCTGGCCCAGGAGTGGATACCCTGCCCCCTGTGCAGCGCCCTAGGCCCCACCGGGGCAGCTCAAGCTGGACACTCGTGTGGCCTTTGGAATGTCCAGGTAAGGTCCTGTATTCTCAGGCCAGATGCATGAGGACAGACCACTCTGTTTCCCTCAGGGACAGCTACCGTGGTGTGCCACTCCCAGAATGACAAAGGGCGGCCCTGCCCCTGCACCACGGGTTAAGGGAGACACACGAAGCTGCCTCCATAGGCTACAAGTGGCACGATGCTCAAGGGACTGCCCTGCAGGGAGGGGCCGTGTCTGTGGGTAGTGGGCGACCAGAAAACCTTCCTTTTCCTGGCAGGGAGGTAAGGCGCCCTCCGATAGGCTGGCCACCCTCCTGACACCTCCTCCTGCTTCCCCTCACCCCTTTGGGACCTCCAGACTGCAGGCCCTATGCTCCCAGAACATGCCCTCCTATGCTTTATCTGGCTGTCATGGGGTGGGGAGTTGGGGGAAGTCCTCACCCACTCGCAATGGAAGGAGGTGGGACCACACCCATCTGGCCAAACAGAAAGTCTGATTATTGCCCAGGTTTTTGCAGAACAAAGTAATAAACAAATGAGCAAATGAGTGTTCTAAAAAACTGAAATCATGTTAAAGAAAACCACATCGAAACCAGCACAGGGAACCCTCCAGGGCTATCCAGGTGTCCCTTGCTGGAATTGTGCTCCAAAAGCCCTCCCTGGAAACATGGAATAGCTCTCTTGTTTGGGGTCAAAGTGACCATAGCAACTCAGTGTCCTCCTGAGGGCCCTGATGACCCAATCACCTTGCTTTGGCTCTGGTCATGGTGGGGATAAAGGGTCGTCCTTAGCATAAAGAGATGCAAAAAGAAACAGCTTCAAACCACCCTGGGAGGGAGTGCAGGCAGGGGGACAAAAGACACCAGGCTGGCCAGGGGAGAGGGCTGACTGAGGTCCTCTAAGCGTTTCTGTTTGGAATGTGCATTCTTGGAAAACTTTCAAATGGCTTCCCAAGCACACTTTTCAAATGGGGCTTATTTACTGCAGTGAGTGTAGAAGGGGAAGCCTAGGTGCCGCGCTCTGTGTCTCTGGCCACAGCTCCAGTGGCTCACAGAGGGGACTACTAGGAGAAGCTGTCCAGGAGCTTTGGGCATGGCCCAGGAGGAGGCTGAGCCATTACTGAGGCCTCAACAGATCACACTTTGTTTATTATGAGAATGTGAAAGAAATTAAGGAAGACACAAATAAATGGAAAGACATCCCATGTTCATGGATGGGAAAGACTTACTATTTTAGATGTCAACACTACCTGGGGTGAGCTACAGATTGAATGCAATCCCTATCAAAAACTCAAGGGACATTTTTCATTTTTGCAGAAATTAAAAAAATTCATCCTAAAAAAAATTCATATGGACTCTCAAGGGACCCAGAGTAGCCAAAACAATCTTGAAAAAGAAGAACAAAGTTAAAGGACTCACCCTACTTGATTTCAAAATTCAATACGGAACTACAATAATCAACAATATAATAGAGACACACAAGTAATGGGATAAAACTGGAATCCAGAAATAAACCCTTACATCTATGGTTAAGTTATTTTCAAAAAGGGTGTTGCAATCACTCAATGGGAAAGAAATCTCTGTCACTCACGGAGGAAATAAATACATCCACTTAAAAAAAATGAAGGGGAATTTTATTAAAATGAAAAACTTTTGACTTCCTTAGTTAATCTATTCGTAGGGATCTTAAACAGTTCTACATCTGTCTCCGTGTTGTTTGTATGTAAAGTGAAAAACTTTTGTGTATCCAAGGACACTATCAAGCCTGTTGAAAGGACAACCCATAGAATGAGAGAACATATTTGCAAATTGCATCTCTGATGAGAAAGTTGAATATCCAGAATATATAAAGGATGTCTACAATTCGATGACAAAAAGACAAACAACCCAATTGAAAAATAGGACTTGAGGGTCGGTCCTGTGAACAAGTGGTTAGGGGAGCCAGATCACATATGGCCAGTTACAGCGTTTGTAGTTCTAGTCCTGGCCCCGGTAGCTGGAAAAACATGCAGGTAGAGGTCCACAACCCCAATAGGATGGAGAGATGGAGAAGGGGTTGCAGCATGACTATGCTCCATCGAGGGGGGTGTTTTCCTTCTCCTCTCTCTTTCTCTCTCGGGCAAGCACACTCATCTCTGACAAATTAAAAATAAGTAAATAAACTAAATGAAAATAGGACTCAAAGAGACATTTTTCCAAGAAGATATACAAATGGCAAACTAACGCATGATATATATCATTAGTCGTTAGGGAAACAAATTAAAACCATAATGAGATGCCACTTTATGTACTCAACTCCCATATATGGCTGACCACAGTTCGAGTCCTGGACTTGGTGGCTTCCTTTCTCACTCTCTCTCTCTCTCTCGCACTCTGTCTCTCTCTCTGGTCAAACTAAAATAAATAAATAAATAAATAAAGTTAAATAAAATAAATAAGTCTTTTAAGAAAAGATGTTATAAAAAATTGTAACGG